CAAGGTGGGACCTGCAAGGCGGCTGCGGGAACAGCACCCCCGGCAGCCGGGCTCGGGACTGCCCTCCTGAGTGACTTGGAATCAGGCTCTTGCAGCGCTTCAGAGCGAGGAGGGGTCTGGAAGGCGCCTGTATCTTGTGCAAACACGGATCAGCACACTCACTGAAGTCATGCGCGGATGCGCAGTAAAACAAAACCCCGCTGTGCTTGTCCCCAAGCGGAGGCTGAGGCCTGGGACAGATTGGCTCTGGAGTACAACTCGGAGCACGTGCCACCCGGAAGGCCTGATTTATCTTTTTTTTTTTTTTTAATATATTTTATTGATTTTTTAGAGAGAAAGGGAGAGGGATAGAGAGTTAGAAACATCGATGGGAGAGAAACATCGATCAGCTGCCTCCTGCACAGCTCCCACTGGGGATGTGTCCACAACCAAGGCACATGCCCTTGACCAGAATCGAACCTGGGACCCTTGAGTCTGCTGACTGACGCCCTATTCACTGAGCCAAACTGGTCAGAGCTGATTTATCTTTTAATTCCAAGAGACGTGAGATCCAAAATAAACATACTCAATGAAATGATAGAAATGGCTGATTTTTAAATGATTAACTTTGGGGGTGATTCGGAAAGAAGATGAGATTTCATTTAGCATGGTTATTATTTAAAAAAAAAAACAACAACTAGTAAATTGAAAGAAACCCAGTATGACTCAATTTGTGATGAATTCCATTAGAATGAGTAGGACTGGAGGCCTCCTGGGAGGCCTCCTGGGACGGCCACTGCGGGGGCGGATGGACAGAGAGCTTTGGAGTGCAGAGGGGTTCCAGTTCCCAGGCCTTGCCTCTTAACTGGCTCAGCACCCCAGGCAGATTATCTTAGTGCTTGGATCCCTAACACGTAAAGTGGCTGTAATAGTGCCCACCCCACAGGATCACTAAGGGAATTTGAAATAATAACGGGAAATGCAAGGGTTACTGGCATTGCCAATAGTAACGTTGCAGATTGAGTCATTTTTAGATTGCGTCCAAGTTAATTTAGTAGGAGGCAAGTGGCACTCGTATGAATGTGGACATGCTCATGTCTCTAGTAATACTTTTGTTGGGACCAGATTGCACACAAGCCCCTGCTTGGGAAGCACTTTCATGTATGTTGCAGAGAAGTGTGCTTGTGTACATTTAAGTGTCGCAGTTCTCATGAAGTCATATTTGAAACCAGCTTTAGAGCTATGTGGGTTTTTCTCCCTCACTCTTGTTTGGAAAAAAACATTTGGTGGGGTGAGGGTCCCAGAAATTCCGGCTTACTGCACCCACCCCTCACTGCTGATTGTAAGTGAAATTGTTAATATGCCTTTAAGCAGACCCGTGGAATTTTGTGAGTAGCACAGAATTCGAGTTAGTTGGCAGGCATCTTGTTGAGTAAGCAGCAGTGAATGTGAAAGGTCACGGGCCCTTAATGTGGAATTAATTTGATGGCCTCCAAAACAGTGACTTGTCCGTGCTGAGGACCTGTGGACTCTTCAGTTTGCTGTTGACTGGATTTGCTTTTATTTTTTTGACCAAGTCAGTTTCCTGTGACTAGCTGCAGTCTGCTTCTCATTGTTTCCTAAGAGTCTGCTAAGAAAATGTGGGAAAATTTGCCATGTTTTCTTGAATAAACCGTTTGGTTCCTTTCTTAAATCTGACGCATGGGCACAGGAGCGGCTTTCACAGTTTTGTAAAGCTGGGAAGTGACGTAGAATGACAGTGGGGGCCTCGTGGGCTCTTCTGTGTGAGGACCCGGGAAGCTGTGGGCAGAGAGTAAAAAAGTGCATATGTTGTTCATTGTGATGAGCTTTAAAGTGAAAATACTCAGGTAATAGGGGCGGGGCTGGATGAGCCCTAGATTCCTTCTTGGCCATGAGACTTTACATCAGTTCCTGATCTTCCAGGCTGTTACACCTGTGCTTGGGTAAAGTCCCCTCTATCGATGGCAATAGCAATAAACACGCTTGGTCAAATGTCAGTTAACCTCAAAACTGATATATTTACTGAGCGATTTTGTTAAATGAATGAATAGGACAATTGCAAATAGCCTAAGACTGCAAATAAATAATAATATACAATGGAGTTACTGTGAGCTCAAAATGATAATATAGGATAGACTATTTGGAAAATCCATTAAAGAGAAGGTAAAACCTTAAGGGTATTAAGAAAGATGGATGTATCAGGAGCTAATAAAGCCAAACAAAATGTTTTTAGAAGAAGAAGAAAAAAAAGATGGGTGACAAGGGCTATTGAGCTGGGATAAATTTTAAAAAACAACACTGAAATTGAAATGGTGGTGGGCATGAATTTTGGGGGTGTTAAGTACTCTCTTTTAGAGGGGAACACGTTTGTGTTGGAGAGAGCGGAAGGTAATTTTGAGTGCTATGTTGAAGTTAGACTGTTGATTCTTCAGCAGACGGGCATGCTGGGAAGTCGTGTTTAGGGAAGCATTATGTCAGTGAGTTACTAGATTTTGTGAAGAGCTCTTTGAATGATCTTAACTCTGAATTGACAAATTTTAAAATATTAAGAGTGATGACTGTTCAATTGTTTTGGCTATAGCTTTGCAACAACGTGTAAACCATTGGCCAGCTTATTAGAGCAAGCTAACTAATATTGAATTTCAAATTGTGTGCTCATTTATAATACCAGATAACTTTCAATTGCAGATTTAGTACCTCAAAACAGACTCTCATGTGGATTCCAGATTCCTTTTTTTCCAGGTATTTCATATAATTCTTCATTACTGTTCTTAATATACTTAGTATTTATCAAAATAGTAAGAATATTCTGTTAATATTTTTTTCTCAAAAATTCTTTTAAAATAGATTTTTTTTTGTTTTTTGTTTGAATAAAGTTTCCTTCTTAACTGCAAAAAAAGACAAAATAATTTTTGTTTTTATTTTGCTTTGGAGATAAGATGGCTCATTTATATTGATCATTAACATTTGATAAAGAATTAGGACATTTATTCATACTAGGATTTTAAAAACTAACTAGCTTATTGTTGTGACTTCTAGCTTGCTGAGCGGGAGAATTTCAACACTTCGAGATGAAACTGGTGCTGTAAGTATAATGTGCAGTGTATCCAAATTAGATTAATGCTTATGTTTGATCCTTATTATATAGTGGCTCTTAGAAAGCTAACATTTTAATAACCATTAAATGAAAGTGAGATATATCTACTTAAAGTTTATTATTTTTTTGTCATGCTTAGAGTGTTTCTATATGTGTAGAACTCTAAATAGTAAATACTACATATAGCAATTCAATGTTCATGATTAGAGAGATTGTAGGATATGAGTTTGCATTGTCAATAATTTTAATCAGTATTTAAAACTTTCACAGTAAATAGATTAATGTAAATACTAAAATATTATGATAGTGAATTAGAATGGTGTAAATAGTAAAGTTCTACAATTTTTTATTTGGAAAATAACCTTATGAATTTGTACAGCAACAGTGGAATGAGGGAAGTAAAGAACTATTATATTTCAGTACAAAAGGAGTCGGTTTATGCATTAAAAAAGCAGTTAGACTGTACAGCAGCATGTACAGTACATGTCTCCTGGAAGCAGAACGGCTTTCTGTTTGGAGGCAGGAGCGTGGCACAGGTGTCCATCTGCTTTGGTGATATTTGCAGGTGAAATAATGCAGAAAAAGCAGGCTTGCCTATTTCAGGTTATAAGAAAGACCTCAGTAATAATATCTCCACAAATCTGTTGTGTTTCTTCAACTTCTGATTGGTTCTAATAAGAAAAGCAAAAATGTATGAAGGTGGAAGTACTTCATTCATTGATATGCATAATTGACCATGGGAAAAGGAGTTTTGTTACCATTCCCCTAATAAACTTACATAAGCTTTAAAAGATGTTCAGTTTTATGGTTAGAGCTTTTGTAATTGATTCAAAATAGTGTTGGTACATATTCCTGTGAAAAGTTATCAATTATGTATTTCATACAAGTACATTATTTCGGTGATGCCCAAGTAAGTCGCAAGTTATGTAAGTCACCATCACCGTCACCAGTAATTAATAATAGAAGAAAGTATTGTTTATGTATGCTATCTTCAAAGTATTCATTCGATTCTAGAATAGTTCAGATAAAAATGTTCCCTCCAGTGTTAATTTTACCAAAAATCTCAAAGTAAATGAGAGAACTGACTTATTAGATACCATTTTCCTACATATTAAAATGCATCAATCTAACAATAGCTTTTTTGGAGGAGGACAGACACTGCCACCTCAGATGTATTCCAGGGAAATACAGTACTTCAGTAATTCAGTCTTTGTTCCCTAAGTGAGACTTACAGACATTGAAGTTAGAAGTTGCAGTTATACTTGGAGCATCATTTCAGATGTTTATTAAAACAGTCCATCATTTGCAGATATTTATTGATAGAGATCCGGCAGCATTCGCACCTATTTTAAATTTTCTTCGGACAAAAGAATTAGACTTAAGGTAAGAAGTGCATCCTTTTACAACCGTATTGATGGATTTTTTTGGGGTATATTTTATGAAGGTAAAGTTTTGTTCTTAGACTATTTCGTTTGAAAGTTTTCTCAGAACTAAACTCCTGAAGGTGGAGGCCCCTCGCAGCCACCCTGCCTCCTGGCCTCCCAGTTCCCCCCCACCTCATTCTGGCCAGTTCCCCCCCACTTCATGTCCTCTTCCACGCAGGAATGGAGGCACTATTTTCCACAGGCTTCTTAAAATACAAATCTGATCTGGTTTCCACACTCCTGAAAATGTGTTATATGTTACGGGGTTCGTGGCGAAGGATTTCGGTATTTTATTCTGTTGCTTAAGGCTCTCTCTAATCTGACCCCTGCTTAATTTCTCTTGCTTTAACACTTGCAACCTTTTCATCCTGATTTCTTTCCTGGTTTCTGCCGTATCCCCCTAATACAGGTAGTCATAGCCATTGTTACACTTTCTCTGGAGTCTGTCTTCCATTAGACTTACATTCCAAAAAACGAGCACTGCTCGCTATATATCCCAGGATCTAGTTGTATTTGATGTGTAGTTAGAAGTTCAGAGGTTCAGTACGTGGGGGAGAGGGAGATTGTGGATAAATGAAGGATCATTTAAACTATTTTAACCTTGCCAGGGTCTGGATTCTTACCAGGGAGCTACAATTTCATTTGTATTGTACTGTTCTTTTATTTCCTAAACTCTTAG